ACCCAAATAAATGCTTCACAGAGTTCAAGTAACAGACACATCTCAACATCAACTGTTCAGGGGAGACTGTGTGAATCAGGCCTTCATAGTCGAATTGCTGTAAATAAACCACTACTAAAGACACCAATAAGAAGAAGAGACTTGCTTGGGCCAAGAAACACGAGCAATGGACATTAGACCGGTGGAAATTAAAATGTGTCCTTTGGTCTGGAGTCCAAATTGGAGATTTTTGGTTCCAACTGCCGTGTCTTTGTGAGACGCGGTGTTGGTGAATGGATGATCTCCGCATGTGTATTTCCCTCCGCAAAGCATGGAGGAGGAGGTGTTATGGTGTGGGGGTGCTTTGCTGGTGACACTGTCTGTGATTGATTTAGAATTCAAGGCACACTTTACCAGCATGGCTACCACAGCATTCTGCAGCGATACGTCATCCCATCTGGTTTGGGCTTAGTGGGACTATCATTTGTTTTTCAACAGGACAATGACCCAACACACCTCCAGGCTGTGTAAGGGCTATTTTACCAAGAAGGAGAGTGATGGAGTGCTGCATCAGATGACCTGGCCTCTACAATCCCCCGACCTCAAACCAATTGAAATGGTTTGGGATGAGATGGACCGCAGAGTGAAGGAAAAGCAGCCAACAAGTGCTCAGCATACGGGGGAACTCCTTCAAGACTCTTGGAAAAGCATTACAGGTGATGCTGGTTGAGAGAATGCCAAGAGTGTGCAAAGCTGTCATCAAGGCAACGGGTGGCTATTTGAAGAATCTCAAATATAAAATATATTTTGATTTGTTTAACACTTTTTTGGTTACTACATGATTCCATATGTGTTTTTTCATAGTTGTGATGTCTTCACTATTATTCTACAATGTAGGAAATAGTAAAAATAAAGTAAATGAGTAGGTGTGTCCAAACTTTTGACTGGTACTGTATATATATATATGTATATGTGTGTCAGTCACCAGATCTGAACCCAATTGAACACATGGGAGATTCTGGAACAACACCTGAGACAGCATTTTCCATTGCCATCAACAAAACACAAAATTATGGAATTTTTCGTGGAAGAATGGTGTCGCATCCTTCCAATAGAGTTCCAGACACTTGTAAAATCTATGCCAAGGCGCATCGAAGCTGTTCTGGCGGGCCAACACATTTTTACATTTAAGTCATTTAGCAGACGCTCTTATCCAGAGTGACTTACAGTTAGTGAATGCATACATGTTTTTTTTTTTTTTAGACTGGCCCCCCTGTGGGAAACGAACCCTCATCCCTGCCGGCCAAACCCTCCCCTATCTTGGATGACGCTAGACCAATTGTGCGCCGCCCATGGGTCTCCCGGTCGCGGCTGGCTGCGACAGAGCCTGGACACGAACCAGGATCTCTAGCGGCACAGCTAGCACTGCAATGCAGTGCCTTAGACCACTGCGTCACCCTATTAAGATGCTTTATGTTGGTGTTTCCTTTATTTTGCCAGTTACCTGTACATCACCTATTCATTGCATTGAGCTCATCTTGAGAAACCTTTTGAATTGCCCAGTCAAACGGTTAATTTACATTCTTCCAGCCAAATCTACCTGAATGAGTACCGACTGGGCATACTGACAGAGGCTCATTTGGCACCGAAATGTCCCACTCCACATTGGTCAGTCTTCTGTTGGCATAGCTTTAGCAGCCCATGCTCTGCTTGCTTAATGTGGAGAATTTCCCAACTGTCCTGCCATCCCAGCAAACATGACCCCATTGACCCCATGTGGGTATTTGGTGGGCAATGTGGGCACGGGCTAGCCCACAACAAGCCCACACCAGCCCAACATGGGCTAGGCCAGCACAGGCTAGCCCACAGCAATCCCACATTAGCCCGATACGTGCTAGCCCACACCAATCCCACATCAGCCCAACATGGTCAAGCCTACATCAGCCCAACACCAAGCCCAACATGATTAGCTCACACAAAACCCAACACAGGCTAGCCCACACCAATCCCACACCAGCCCAACACAGGCTAGCCTACAACAGCCCAACAGGGGCTAGCCCAAAACAAGCCCAGCAAGAGGCGGGGTCTCATTAGAATATTTGGGGGCATGGTTTGCACACAGTTATTTTTGTGCAACTGTTACTGAGAGTGTCCTAACAGAGTATGGGATCAGTTTTTTTCTTTGTTACATTTTTAAAAAAAAATATTGTATGCTGCCACTGATGAAGTCTTTAAAAAGACTTAAATAAGGGCATGTGACATATGAGAAACGGAAGTTTCTCTTATAAAAAAACAAACAAATATTTGATAGTAAAAACTTGGTTGCCATTCTGATACAATATATCATGTTCCTTAAATACATTTTAGTCATTTAGCAGATGCTCTTATCCAGAGCGACTTACAGTTAGTGAGTGCATACATTATTTTTTTATTTTTCATAGCCCCATGGGAATCGAACCCACAACCCTGGCGTTGCAAACGCCATGCTCTACCAACTGAGCTACATCCCTGCCGGCCATTCCCTCCCCTACCCTGGACGACGCTGGGCCAATTGTGTGCCGCCCCATGCCTTTAAGGCTTGAAAATTATACAATTTATGCATTGAATTAAAAGTTCCATAAATACATTATAAATAAATGAATTCCTATTAAATAACAAAGACGTATCGGCCCAATGTGGGCAGCCTACATGGGGCCAATATTTTAGTCTGCGTTGGGCCCACATCTTGCCAATGTGGACATGTTTGCTGGGATATCTGTGTGGTGAAATAAAAATACCCTGCTGTGGACTCTGTTTTGCTTCTTCAGTGTTACAGTAGAAATTGCTATAATCTACCCTCTCCTTATATCTTATATGTCATGTGTGGCTCAGTTGGTAGTACATGGTGCTTGCAACGCCAGGGTTGTGGATTCAATTCCCACAGGGGACCAGTATGAAAATATATGCACTCACTACTGTAAGTTGCTCTGGATAAGAGTGTCTGTGAAATGTAAATATATATTCATTATCACATCAGATGCATCATCATATATAAAGTAAGCAGCCTTGTCTGAGCCAGAATAGGGCAGGAGCCTATTGCCTGTTTCTGTAAATATATAGTGTGCTGATTTCTGAGACTCAGAACAGAGATATACAGGTAACTGCCAAAGTAAAGGAAACACTTTAGTAAATTAGGGATACAAAGTGCACTATATATACAAAAGTATGTGGACATCCCTTCAAATGAGTGGATTCAGCTAAATAAAATTGAGCACACCGCCATGCAATCTCCATAGACAAACATTGGCAGTAGAATGGCCTTACTGAAGAGCTCAGTGACTTTCAACGTGTCAAAAGTCTTCCCTGCTAGAGCTGCCCCAGTCAGCTGTAAGTGCTGTTATTGTGAAGTGGAAACGTCTAGGAGCAACAATGGCTCAGTCGCGAAGTGGTAGGCCACACAAGCTCACAGAACGGGACCGCTGAAGTGCGTAGCGCGTTAAAATCGTCTGTCCTCGGTTGCAACACTAACTACCGTGTTCCAAACTGCCTCTGGAAGCAACATCAGCACAATAACTGTTCATCGGGAGCTTCATGAAATGGGTTTCCATGGCAGAGCAGCCACACACAAGCCTAAGATCACCATGTGCAATGCCAAGCGTCAGCTGGAGTGGTGTAAAGCTCACTGCCATTGGACTCTGGAGCAGTAGAAATGCGTTCTCTGGAGTGATGAATCACGCTTCACCATCTGGCAGTCCGACGGACAAATCTGGGTTTGACTGGCCACCACAGAGCCCTGACCTCAACCTCATCGAACACCTTTGAGATGAATTGGAACGCCGACTGCAAGCCAGTCCTAATCACCCAACATCAGTGCCCAACAGAACTAATGCTATTGTGGCTGAATGGAAGCAAGTCCCCGCAGGAATCTTCCAACATCTAGTGGAAAGCCTTCCCAGAAGAGTGGAGGCTGTAATAGCAACTCCATATTAATGCCCATGATTTTGGAATTAGATGTTCGACGAGCAGGTGTCCACATACTTTTGGTCATGTAATGTATATTGAAAGCAGATGCTTTCACACAGGTGTGGTTGGTGAGTTAATTAAGCTATTAACATCCCGTCATGTATAAAAATGTTGGCTACCATGGCTATACCCCGATAGGATGACAATGCCCCCATCCACAGGGCACAAGAGGTCACTGAATGGTTTGATGAGCATGAAAACAATGTAAACCATATGCCATGGCCGTCTCAGTCATCAGATCTCAACTCAATCAAACACTTATGGGAGATTCTGGAGTGGCGCTTGAGAAAACGTTTTCTACCACCATCAACAAAACACCAAATGATGGAATGTCTCATTGAAGAATGGTGTCACATCCCTCCAATAGAGTTCCAGTCACTTGTAGAATCTATGCCTAGGTGAATTCAAGCTGTTCTGGCTCGTGGTGGCCCAACGCCCTATTAAGACACTTTATGTTGGTGTTTCCTTTATTTTGGCTGTTACCTATTCATACATCCAACTGATTCGTGTATTGTCTGCTTTGAGAATATCCCTAAAACCCAGACAAACATAATTTTTTTTGGTGGAGATGAAAAGGTCTCTGACCAAAACATTGACACAATAAACAATGTGCAAAGGTATTGTATGTGTTTGAGTTATCATTTTTACAATGGAGATATAAAACATAGTCATAATCTGAAGAAATGCAGATTAAATGGAGAAATGCATAATCCGAAGAAATCTGAAGAATGCAAACAAAAATAAATCTGTATCAAAGTTCAAGTATGAATTCCTCACAATGAGTACACAGTTCAAGCCAAGTGTTCCTTTCCCATCACTGTCAAAAGCCAGAAACAGAGTAACCAATCTGGGACAGGAAAAGATAGCTCTACATGGCTACAGTTAAATCAAGTGGCACAGTCTTTAAAATCTCAAATGCTGGTGATAACTTCAACTCCACAGTTCATAACCAATTACAGTTGGCTCGCACCCCAAGGCTCTTGAAAAGCAATTTGACCTCTCCTCATAGCTCAAGTCTTTCACCGCCTCCTCACTGTGGGTAAACGTCTCTTCTTCCCCTCCTCCTCTTGCTTCCTCCTCTCCTCCTTGGCCTCTTTGTACCTCCACTTGGGGAGCTGGAGGAGCTCGGGGTCCTTGCTCTTCCTTCTCTTCTCAGGGTTGGGCCCAGAGGGGACCTTGCACAGCCTCACCTTGGGGACCACAATGCCAGGCCTGATACTGCTCCTCCTCATCATGTTCAGGGGCAGCAAGCTGGTGCGCCTCAGGGCCGAAGTACCGGCCACCGCAACTTTTTGCAACATTTGGGTCTGCAGGCTGGCCCTCCGCTCCCTCTTCTTAGGAACCAACTGCACCTGGGAGTTATTGAACAGCTTCTTGTTGTTGTTGAAGCGGTTGGGGACCAGGCGCTTCAGCTCGTCCACTCGCTGCTTCCTGAGGATCTCCGGCACGGCATAGTGCCGCTTCTCGATGCAGGGTGGGCTTCTCGGGGCCACGGTGTGGCAGGCGGTGGCGATCAATGGGCTGGACAGGGCGGTAGTGATGCGCACCATGTGGTCCATCACACCGGAATCCACGGGGTCCATCTTCATGCGGAGGGAGAACCTGCAGCAGGCCTTGTCTGCCACCTTCTGCCAGCAGCTCTTGGACTCCTGGCATTGGGTCACTAGCTCCTGCAGCATGGGCCATTCCAGCTTGTAGGAGTCACAGAACTGCTCGGCGCACGGCTCATAGCGGCATGTGAACAAAGCCCACTCCCTGGAGGTCATCTTGCGGCTGTAGTCCCTCGCCTCCATGTCCGCTCCTTGTAGAGGGAATACACAAATAAAGAGAGGCATTGAATGTGTTGGTATTCAATTGTCATTTCAAAATGTTTACATTTATCGGAGCTCTTACAGATGTCGGATCTTAATTTGACCCGTTTCATCACAGGAGGAATATAGGAGCAGCAGGAGTATTTGAATATCTGAAGAAACAGTGTTTGCATACAATACAGTACCATACCTACATTGTACCTTAGACTGCATGGCCACTTGGCACCAGTTCAACAACTAAATTTTGACAGTTGATTCGTAACCTTAGGTTCGCTAGAAACGTTAAGATGTCCTCTACAAAGTGTTGACAGCATTCCACAAGGATGCTGGCCCATGTTAACTTCAATGCTTCCCACCGTTGTGTTAAGTTGGCTGGATGTCCTTTGGGTGGTGGACAATTCTTGATACACACGGGAAACTGTTGAGTGTGAAAAACCCAACAGTGTTGCAGTTCTTGACACACTCAAACCGGTGCTCCTGGCACCTACTACCATACCCAGTTCAAAGGCACTTAAATATTTTGTCTTTCACACATTCACAATCCATGTCTCAATTGTCTCAAGGCTTAAAAATCCTTCTGTAATCTATCTCCTCACCTTCATCTACACTGATTGAAGTGGATTTAACAAGTGACATCAATAAGGGATCATAGCTTTCCCCTGGTTTCACCTGGTCAGTCTATGTCATGGAAAGAGCATATACATATATACCGAAAAAGTGTCAATGCTCTTGTGGCTGAATGGAAGCAAGTCCCCGCAGGAATCTTCCAACATCTAGCGGAAAGTCTTCCCAGAAGAGTGGAGGCTGTTTATAGAAGCAAAGGGGGAGCAACTCCATATTTTTGCCCATGATTTTGGAATGAGATGTTCGACGAGCACGTGTCCACATACTTTTGGTCATGTGTAGTGTAGCTTTCTGGGCAGAGGAGATCTCGTCCTATTCATTGTCTCCTTTGCCCAGATACTGGTTCAGTTGTTGATGTGTATGGATGCATTTAAGATAAATGCACATTTGAATGTTGCAGTAATAGGATCTATATGCCTACAGTAGCAGTAGTACATTTATTCACATTCTGTCTGGCGCTTTTAACATTTTAGCGAGTTGGAGAGGGTCATCACTAATTACTACAGCCTCAAAGTCATAATTATGGCTAAACCCCACCTATTTCTGCAATTTCTCTTCTTAAAATCTGATTTTAAACCTAACCCTAACCTTAATCACACTGCTAACCTTATACCTAACCCTAATGTTAAATTATGACCAGAAACCACATTTTTGTTTTCATGAATCTTTACTATATAGCCAATTTGGACTTTGTAGCTGTGCTAACTAGTGACAACCGCGAGAGAGGGAGGATGAGTTTGATAGCTGGCACTGTTCCAAACGACTCGACTGCCCCGGAATGTGGTGAAAGAGAACTGCAGTTTTTCAGTGAACGTATCTAAATCTCATTTGAATTTCCTGATGCGCAGGAAGTTTTTCTGCGAGAAAAGATACAATTAAGATCCGACATCTGTAACTTTACAAACTTATTCTTCTTCACAGTGGGCCTAGCAACAAAATAAAGAAAATGTAAACGTTGTAAAAAATTATATAGAAAAAAATAAATATTATAGCTTTACCTGCCCTCCCTTGCATGGCTGCCTTCATCAAAGCGGTGAATCCATGGCAGTTCCTACGCTCTAGGTTGGGGAAGTAGTTGATCAAGCAGCTGGATATCATAATGTGGCCTGATATAAAAAAAATAACCAAATGTGTTATTCACCTTATTCACAATAATAATATAATAATATAATATGCCATTTAGCAGACGCTTTTATCCAAAGCCACTTACAGTCATGTGTGCATACATTTTTACGTATGGGTGGTCCCGGGGATCGAACCCACTACCCTGGCGTTACAAATTGAGCTACAGAGGACCACAATGAACCATTTTTAATTATACTAATTATTTTCAGATCAAAACCTTTGTTTTAATCTGGCTGTTTTCATTTAGAATAATCATATTCGTTCATGACACATTCCCAAAATATACTGTACTAGGAACAAACCAACCTGCCAGCATTGAAACATCTGTAGATTTCTTACCTGCTTGAGCAGCTGTCATGAGGGCTGTATTCCCCTCGTTGTCTTGCCAATTGACATCGATGTGGGGACACTGAGAGAGCGCTATGACCACATCCACCCAGCCGATGTAACAGGCTACTATCAGCCCATTCTGAAAAACACATACCACTTTTTGGATGTATGTTTACTGCTTTAGTTATTGTAAGTCAGTGGCCTTCTGGTGACTCTTTTGACACACAGTGCCATACTGTTCCAACTCAAACATTTGGCCTTGCGCATAAAGTATAGAACGTCACACAACTACAGGTTCGTCACTTGTCTACTTTAGATCTCAAGAAAGATACACAACTCCAGACGTGGCTGCTGCTAGTGCTTGTGAATGGCTTTGTAGCTAACTAAAGACACAAGGCAAGCTCACCCACCCAGGACTCTGAGGTCACTGTTACACTCCCTGGAGCCTGATTTTCTTAAGACGGTTGTCTCAGTGCTCATTATCCCAACACAGTTGCTTCACAGGGTCAATTGGATCAATAGCTCTGCTCTTTGAGGCGCGTTAACAGCTACTCTAGCTCTAGGTGTGTGGTGCTAGACTTGTGTTGACACTGTAGAATATGACAGTGGGTAGTCTCATTTGTTAATGAGAGATGACTTAAAAACTATCTATCCTTGGGGTTCTTTGAAGTATTTGTGAAACAATTTATCTAACAAAATAAACAAATACTTGGCGTGACACTGATAAACCTATACGATTGGAGGGTAATGTATAGCCAGAGACGCCAACTGACAGGCCTACTGATCCCCAAGGAAATTCCAAGTTAAGTCTCAGCTAATAGACTTTCTGGAGCTTTCTGAACCATCTGCCTGCTGTTGCCTACAGTGCTAATCACAGTCCACCAGACCTATGGTGAGATAGCATAATGACGTATAGTAAACAGTACACAAGAGTGGCTCAAGGGCTCCGTTTGTGGATTTGGGGAAAACCCGGTCACCAAGGCAACTGTACAACCAATCAATCACAGTTAAGATATGGATTCAATCAGTATCGAGGAAGATCCGTTTAAAAATGTAAAGGTAATTTCCGATTGAGCCGACATATGCAGTATTTACCGTGAATACAGTCTCGTGCAATAAAGTGGATCTTCAGCACTATGGATTGAATAGAGCCCTAAGTCATCTGAAGAAAACTCGTTAGACATTGTGTATTCTCACTGCTTAGTGCTTACATGGTCAACTGATGTAAAGGTCTCTGAGGTAGGCCTAGACCACAGCTTTGGGACCAAAGAGGAATTACAAGTAAACAAAGCGTTTTGCCCACTCATAATGAAAACCCGAAACTCAAAAGCTTTGAAGGATCAGCAGAACTTCCAGTATTCTCACTGCTTAGGGCTTACATGGTCAACTGATGTAAAGGTCTCTGAGGTAGGCCTAGACCACAGCTTTGGGACCAAAGAGGAATTACAAGTGAAAGTATCTGACAACAACACCCCATCTACAAACAACCCAAAGGAGAACATAATCTTGGCATGGCTCACTATCTATCTTGGCCCCGCTATCTGCAGTGTTGGGGAGTAGTGAACTACATGCAGTTCAACTACTAATTAAACTATATTTTGCAGTAGCTTCGTGGTACAGTACCAGTCAAAAGTTTGGACACACCTACTCATTAAAGGGTTTTTCTTTATTTTTACTATTTTCTACATTGTAGAATAATAGTGAAGACATCACAACTATGAAATTACACATATGGAATTGCGTAGTAACCAAAAAAGTGTTAAACAAATCAAAATATATTTTAGATTTTAGATTCTTCGAAGTAGCCACCCTTTGCCTTGATGACAGCTTTGCACACTCTTGGCATTCTCTCAACCAGCTTCATGAGGTAGTCACCTGGAATGCATTTCAATTAACAGGTTGTTGGGATCTATTTTCTTATAACTAGATGTGATGCCTAGCTTAGAAAGAATACATGAATGATTAAACATAATAGGTTTGTGCTGTACTGATATATATTGTTTAACATAACAAGCTGTGATTAATGTGAGGAACCGTTAGGGGGTAGGCTGAGACAGACTTGTGACTCACACACACACTGCCTCTTTGTTAAACCGCTCAAGGACATGTGTTCTGCTACAAAGAAGAACAAACTATGTCTGAGGTTGCTGACTCGAGACAAGTTGTATAGATAACAACTAATGCCCGGCAACAGTGAAGCGCCAAGGGGCTGGGACCAGCCTGTGCGCCAACAGTGAAGCGCCAAGGGGCTGGGACCAGCCTGTGCGCCATCGATAGGTTGGGTAAGTTTAAACCACACCCAGCCTCTACTCTGACAGGCCCAGCAGAGAGCGGGAACTATCTCTGTCAGAGTATTTAAAGAAGAACTTATAACAAAAGCTCAGTTCTCTGTCTGCCCTGCGTGGTTTTTCAGTGGGCCCGTATATACGAACATCATATTTACCATTCAAGTGTTTGCATTAATTAAAATACTAGTCTATTTTAGAAGACGTATATTGACCTCTTTTTGTTCCTATACCAGATTTGAATTGACGCAACTTGACAATTGGTAACCGCCGATGTGATCTGGTAAAGGGACTTCGCTGGGTATTGTCCGGCCGATTGGACATCGCTGTCGTTTCACAAAGAGTCCGGACAACTAAAAACAGGTAAGCAGACACCTATTGTTATATAACTAAAGTTCTGCACATTGGCTTTATCCAAATTAATTTTGTGAAACACCTGTTTGATGTAAGTGAACTAAATTATGAATTATTATATGAATTATTATGAGTAGATAAGCACCATATTGTGACATGCAAACCTGTGGTGAATGTGATGTTAAACCATGGTACCATAGAGTATTGTTCCACCGGCAAGGTCCGTAACTACGAGGGTACAGCTAGGACCAGGAAAATACTGAAATCCTCAGGCTAGGACCACCAGGGGTGGGTACTGGGGGTATAGGGAGTTATTGGATTAAAAGTGTTGCGCTACTGGCAAGGATCGTAACTACGAGGGTACAGCTAGGATCAGAGGGACACTTACAATTTTAGATAGTGTTGCGCTATCGGCAAGGTCCGTAACTAGTATGGCTAGGATCGTAGGAGCACTTTAATGTACACTATAGTGTTGCACTTCGGCAGGGAGTTGTACTTGGGGGATACAACCCAGATCGGAGGAGCACTTTAAAGTATAGGGTGTTGTATGAATGAGAGTGCAAATGATCCCAGTGTAATAAAAGAGTGATTGCAAATTAAATAAAAGAGTGAATGCGGGTTATTAAAATGAATAAACCTGTATACCTTGATAGAAAACTAATTAGGAGTTAAAGAAGTCTGTAGCTGCTTAAACCGTATAACCCGTTAATAACAATTGGGAATAGATATACTAGGGCAGAGAAATTAAAATAAAATATATATTAAAAGTGAGACATAGAATCGTTAAAAAATTTAAAATTTCTAAAATAAAGATAAAAAGAAAAAAGTGTTAAATAAATATGGCGGGACACACAGAGGCGGAACGGGTGCTGAAAGTACTGAAGTCCACCCTTGAAACAAACTGAGGAAAAGATGGAAAGGAGTGGAAACGGAGAGGAGAAAAATTATACAAAGAGTGGATAGAAGACGGTTGTATAATTGCAACTGACGGAATCCCAGGAGACGGAGAACCTGGCAGAATACTAGAAACACTGAAAAGAAGAACTCAGAAAGCAGAAGGTGAATGGAAGAAAGAAGGAGAACCCAGAAGGGGTCAAATCAAGGAAGCAATGGAAAAAGCAAGGCTGAAGGAAAGAATAGGACTAGCAATGTTGGGAAAACTTACGAAAATGTGGGAAGAAAAACAGAACAATAAGGAGAAGCAGGACAAGAAGGAACGATCCAGGTTTCCTACGGAACCGCCACCAAGATTATACCCAGAACTGCCTACGTCTCCACCCCCATACGAGGCACCAAAGCTAATGGCTCCAACACTGGATATTTTGGGGCACTGCTAGAAGCAGCAAGAGCTATACGAGACGGGGTTGAGAACATGTCCAGATTACAGGAAGAAGAAAGTCGTATGAGCCTGATGGGTGACGGCGACAGGGGAAGCCTGATGCTTGATGGGGGTTTGACCCAAACAGAACTGAAGAATCAGGAAAGGGAGGACAGAGAGAGAGAGAAGAAAGAAATAAGGAAGTGAAAATATTGGAAGAGGAAGTAAGAAGAGGTGCGAAACAGCTGAAGGAAATGGAACAAACTATGCGAGACCTGAGCGAGGAGAGGAAACAAGGAAGTAGAGCAACCTCTCCACCAATGATGCACAGACCGGTTTCACCTCCCGGAGGGCACTATATAGACATGGGAGAAGAGCATGAAGAAGCAGTGAGAGAGAGAGAGAGAGAGAGAGAGAGTAGGAGGGGGCCAGTACCCACTGATAGCCTTACCTAATCTATTGGCGGGGAATGAAAGAGGCCCCAGCAACCTTAGAATGAGGTGAGAGCTAGTGCGGTTTTCATTTGGTGACGTCACTTGCTCTATGAACTGGAAGTATTTACTTTGAAAGGATCGCGGAATGTGTGGGGTGACTGGCAATGTATGTAGAGGGTCCCTGGTTCGAACCCAGGTAGGGACAGTGGGTAAAGCTTTCGCATTGGGGCTATAGACCTAGATTACTACGTG